TGATAATAATTAATAAACTGTTACCATTTTTTTTTCAGTGCATATTCTAATATTATTATACTGGTCCATGGTCAGAAATGAACTTTTCCATTAAGTGGCAATTTTTGCCTCCTGGAATTGATTTCCATAGGGGATTTTTTTTTTTTTTTACATTTGTGGGGGCAATTTTCATCACCATCTGTGTTGTCTTTAATGTCAAATACTTGAATTTAACCAGTTACTTCAATCAATCAAAATACTTGAAACTGTTGCCAATTGTATCTAAATTCTACGTTTAAAAACAGGAGCTATGTGGGTGCAATATTACGAAGAAAAAAAATCATTATTGTTGATTATTGCTCTTTAATTTTAATTAATATTGTTATAATGATTATTAATGTCAATTTTAAATGTAAATACATTTAAAAACTTTTTTGTGTGTGTGTTTTGTGTCTGCTTTTTGAGGAAACGGCTCGTCATATAGCCTATTCTGGCTCTGGCTTCACTGACAAACATGGTGGTGCATGACATTAGTCTAGTCTGGCGCAAGTTATGCAAAAACTCCCGTTATAATCACTGAAGCTACGAAATCAATATTGTTATTTTCTCAGGAGCGCAAATAATTCAATCAGTGAGCGTGCACACTAAACAACAACTCCGGAGATTTCATTTCAGCGCATTTACTCTGATTGGCCATTGCATTCCTAAGGTCAACGGAAGCGCGTGTGATTGGTTATAAGGTTCAATGCTAAAAAAAAAAAAAACTATGGGGTTAATTTTGTTAATTTTTTTGTTAATTTTGGTAGCATTTTTGCCACAAGCCCCATTCATTTCTGACCCTTTACTGGTCACTGGTAAATATTACAGGACAGCTCAGGGAATCGTCATGAAGATATGCACTCTTACAGATGCACTTAAAGACAGTGGCTTGTACTGTATGCATTCTGAGATATTACTGTGATGAACAAAGTGACTTCTGGGTTTTTTCAAAGTGGATAACATATAGGGGTGAATTAGGGTTAATTGGGACATTTTTCCTAATAATCTCAGTGACAAAACTATCCCA